GCGCTGCTCGAGGCGTCGGTCAAGCTGGAGTGGTTGCGCGATCTGGTAGCGGAGGAGGTGCGCCAGTGGGCGGCGGACAGGGGTTCTTCGGTCGACAGAGAAGAAGAAGAAACAGGGGAGAAGAAAGAAAGAAAAGAGAAAGAAGAAGAAAGAAAGAAAGAAAAAGAAAGAAAAGAAAGAAAAGAAAAGAAGAAAAAGAAAAAGAGAGAAATTGCTGCTTTTTTTCAAAAATTTTACTTTTCTTTTTCTTCCAATTATGAGGCTCTTTGAGCCACGGAAATAATAATGAGTGTGTTTGGACAGCCAATTATTTGGCCAAATATATTTGCTGACATCACCATTACAATTTCCAATACACCTTTTTATCTTCCCAATTACTTTTTTATCTCACATACATCACATCACAAAAAGTACTACAGTAAAAATATTTCAAATAACTAACAATCCAAACACACTCAATGTTTCGGTGATAAGAAATGTTTATTCTATTTTTTTCTTTTTTTTCTTTTTTTTTGAATCCTTACCTTTCCCGCGAACGTGACGCAGGCACGTCATGAGGGCAAAAGAGCTCCCAGAAGTTTCTGATCTTGAGTTTCCCGCACATCACCATGCGGGCGCGTCATGAGGGCAAGAGAGCTCCCAGAAGTTTCTGAATTTTCTGATCGTGAGCTTCCTGCACATCACCACGCGGGCACGTCATGACTGAAGGGCATCTATAAATCAGTAAAAACGAAAACTGAAACCCAAAATCAATCGAATTCAAGTAGAACACATCTAAACTACCACACGAAATTGAACAAACAATTAAAAGGAACAATTGGGTTGCCTCCCAAGGAGCGCCTTTCTTTAATGTCTTTGGCTAGACATGGCAAAGTGTCACTGATTAAGACACGGTGGTGCGTCTAGATGTACTGTCTCCACTTCTCCACCTGAAAAACTTTCGTAATAGTGTTTGAGACGGTGTCCATTCACCACAAACTTGTTGTCCGTCTTAGCACTTCGGATTTCGACTGCACCATATGGAAAAACGTGAGTAACAATAAAAGGTCCAATCCAACGGGAACGTAGTTTACCTGGGAATAGCTTGAGCCTTGATTGGTATAGGAGGACCTTCTGACCAACTTCAAATGTTTTTCTTGAAATTTGTTGGTCATGAAATGTCCGGCTTCTCTCCTTATAAATTAATGCATTTTCGTAGGCTTCGTTCCGAATCTCCTCCAATTCTTGCAAATCCAACTTCCGTTGGGCACCGGCCTCCTCTAGATTCATGTTGCATTGCTTTATCGCCCAAAAAGCCTTGTGCTCGAACTCCACTGGAAGGTGACACGGCTTCCCAAATACCAACCTATACGGTGACATCCCTATAGGAGTCTTGTACGCCGTCCGATAGGCCCAGAGTGCGTCCTCCAACCTTTGACTCCAGTCTTTTCTATCGGGGCGCACCATTTTCTCCAAAATGGATTTAATCTCCCGATTCGATACTTCCGCTTGACCATTAGTCTGCGGGTGGTACGACGTCGAGACCCTGTGGAGTACACCATACTTGCGAAACAACGCAGCAATGGTTTTGTTGCAGAAGTGCGTTCCCCTATCACTGACAATAGCTCTTGGCATTCCAAATCTCACAAAAATATTAGCTCTGATAAAATCTGCAACTACTTTCGAGTCATTAGTTCGAGTGGCCTTAGCCTCCACCCATTTAGACACATAATCAACTGCCAGCAAAATATATAAAAAACCAAATGAAATAAGAAAAGACCCCATGAAATCTATACCCCAAACATCAAAAATTTCAACAAAAATCAACGGGACTTGGGGCATTTGATCTCTACGGGCTATATTACCTACCCTTTGACAGCGATCACATGACTTACAAAACACATAGGCATCCTTAAACAATGAAAGCCAATAAAATCCACTTTCTAAAACCTTATGAGCAGTTCTCTTGGGTCCAAAATGACCTCCACAGGCAAAAGTATGACAAAAAGCTAAAATCGATTGAAATTCCACTCCACTTACACATCTCCGCATCACTTGATCTGCACATCTCTTCCACAGGTACGAGTCATCCCAGATGAAGTACTTGGCGTCGCTCTTCAATTTATCCCTCTTCGATTTTGGCCAACCTGCAGGAAAATTACCAGTTACCAAATAATTGACCAGATCAGCATACCAAGGCAACTGAGAATTTAAAGAAAATAAATGCTCTTCAGGGAATGCATCTTTCAACGGCTCGCTATCCTCCCCAACTGGTATGCGACTTAAATGGTCTGCTAATAGATTCTCTGAGCCTTTTTTATCTCTTATCTCTAAGTCAAATTCCTGCAGTAGCAATATCCACCTGATGAGCCTCGGTTTGGCATCCTTCATGGTCATTAGGTACCTTAATGCTGCATGATCAGAAAATACAATTACTTTAGCACCTAGCAAATATGACCTGAATTTTTCTAAAGCAAAAATAACTGCAAGAAGCTCCTTCTCAGTAGTGGAGCAATTCAGTTGAGCTCCATTCAGTGCTCGGGACGCAAATAGATGACGTGGGCTGCCTTTCCCATTCTTTGCCCCAACACAGCCCCTACAGCATGATCACTGGCATCGCATATGATCTCAAATGGTAGACTCCAGTCAGGGGGCTGGATGATTGGGGGTGAGGTCAACAACTCTTTCAACTTGTCGAAGGCTTTCTCACATTTGGCATCGAATTCGAAGGTCACCTCCTTTTGTAGGAGTTGGAACAACGGGGCTCCAATTTTTGAAAAATCCTTGATAAACCTCCGGTAAAAACCTGCATGTCCAAGAAAAGAGCGTACCTCCCGCACACTAGCGGGGTAAGGCAAAGCAGATATAATATCTATTTTAGCCCTGTCAACCTCGATGCCCTTAGACGATACAATATGACCCAGGACTATCCCGTGCTCAACCATAAAATGACATTTTTTCCAATTAAGCACAAGATTAGTCTCTATACACCTTATCAGGATCAATTTCAGGTTATCTAAACATGTATCAAAACTATCACCATACACACTGAAATCATCCATGAAAACTTCAATTATTTTCTCCACATATTCAGAAAAAATACTTACCATACACCTCTGGAATGTTGCAGGTGCATTGCACAACCCGAATGGCATTCGTCTATAGGCAAAGGTCCCGAACGGGCACGTGAAGGTTGTCTTCTCTTGATCCTCTGGTGCAATTGCTATCTGAAAATATCCTGAAAATTCATCCAAAAAGCAATAGTAAGCTCTACAAGCTAAACGTTCAACCATTTGGTCAATGAAAGGAAGAGGAAAATGGTCTTTTTTGGTGACGGCGTTCAGCCTGCGGTAGTCAATACACTGCCTCCATCCAGTGGATTTTCGCACTGGCACGAGTTCACCCGTTTGGTTGGCCTCTACCGTCACTCCTGCCTTCTTTGGGACTACCTGGACCGGGCTCACCCAAGGGCTATCTGATATTGCAAAAATAATCCCCACATCTAACAATTTCAAAATTTCCTTCTTCACCACCTCCATCATGAGGGGGTTAAGCCTCCTTTGAGCCTGTCGTACAGGTTTGGCATCCTCATCTAGTCTAATCCGGTGCATACAGATGGCCGGGCTGATTCCCTTAATGTCCGCAATTGTCCAACCTATCGCCTCTTTATGCTCTCTAAGGACCCGGATCAGTTTCTCCTCCTGGATTTTTGACAGTGCCGATGAGATAATCACCGAGAGTGTCTCATTATCACCCAGATATGCATATTTCAGGTGCTCTGGTAGAGGTTTCAACTCCAGTACAGGTGCCTGCACCACAGATGGCAATACCCTCTGGTGAGATTCGGGAGTAAAAATAGGTAAGACTTCATACCTTCTCGTGGTGGTCTGCAATGAGTGTAATGCACCTATTGTGCACTTTAGATCTTCACTCCACTCCACCTCAGGAGTTGTCTCCAACTCGAGGTGCTTGGTCAGAGCTACCTCCAACTCATCCCTGCCAACAGTTTCAAATACTTCCTGCACCGCAGGGTCAATAGCACTCACAGAGAAAACTGAGCTAAAGTTGGAGTTTGATGGATATTTCATAGTATCAAAAATATTAAAGTGCACAGTTTCCCCATCAAATTCCATGGATAAGGTACCCTTATTAACATCAATTTTTGTTTGTGTTGTGCTCATAAAGGGTCTATCTAACAACAAAGGTGAGGGATCGGGGGAGTGATCATCATCCATATCAAGTACATAAAAATCAGCTGGAAACACCAAATCATTAACTTTCACCAACACATCTTCAACCAACCCATCAGGATATGCATTAGTGCGGTCAGCTAATTGAATGATTATTCCAGTTTCTTTTAATGGACCTAGCTTTAGAGAAGCATATATAGATTTAGGCATGACATTAATTGATGCTCCCAAATCCAACATGGCCCTTCTAATCACAGTGTTCCCTATCCTACAGGGGATAGTAAACATACATGGGTCCCCGCACTTGGGTGGAAGCTTTCTCTGCAGGACCGCTGACACATTCTCCCCAACAATGACCCTCTCATCTCCCCTCAACCTCCTTCGGTTAACACACAAGTCCCTTAGGAATTTGGCATATTTTGGTACTTGTTTGATCGCGTCTAACAGGGGGATATTTATCTCAACCTTGCGAAAAACCTTCAAAATCTCATTTTCCTTATCATGCTTCTTCGATTTTTCCAACCTGCTAGGAAAAGGAGGCGGGTTAGTTTTAGCTGTAATTATTGGGTCAGGAAGTACCTTTGGGTCTGCACCATTGCTGTCCTCCCTTTCAAGCTCATTTTCGATCTTTTCCTCATCCTTATCCTTAGGGATCACAGGTTCAGGCCCCTGAATTTCCTTCCCGCTCCTCAGGGTCATGGTGCTCACATTCTTCGGGTTCAACTCAGGTTGAGATGGCAGCTTCCCTTGGTTCTGGGAATTCAAACGGTTGATTGTTGTGGTCATTTGACTTATCTGATTCCTTATATCCTGCATTTCGGAGTCCGTCCTTTACTGATTTTGCACCATGGTTGTCATCATTTGTTGATTTTGCGCCATGGTTGTCATCATTTGTTTCATCATTTCCTCCAAAGATGGACCAGAGCTTGGGGGCGGAGGTGGTCGAGGTTGGTATTGCTGCTGGTACCCCGGTGGCTTATTTGGCACAAAGTTAGACTGCCTGTTCGGTGTAAAGTTGGGTTGCCTATTCCCTCCATAACTGAGGTTGGGATGATCTCTCCACCCGGGGTTGTAGGTGCTTGAGTAAGGGTCGTACTGCTTCCTTGGCGCGGGCGCGTGGTCAGCCATGTTCACCTGTTCTGCAGTTTCTTCCTGAATCATTGGGCACATATCTGCAGAGTGACCTATACCAGTGCAAATCCCGCATACCCTGGCTTGTGATGCATTTCTCACAGCCTGTTGCCTAACAAACGCGGTCAACTCAGTTAGCTGCTGCTGCATGGAGGGTGTCTCTACCTCATTCACCTTGCGTATTGGACAATCCTCTCTCGTACCGAATTGTTGCGAATTCTCTGCCATCCTCTCAATCAACTCCCGTGCTTCTTGAGGGGTTTTGTTCACCAGTGCCTCTCCACTTGCAGCATCAATTATGCTCCTGTCCCCAAAAAGGAGCCCCTCATAAAAATACTGAATGAGCAACTGCTCACTTATCTGGTGCTGGGGACACTTGTGCAACAAGAAGTTGAACCGTTCCCAATACTCATAGAGCGACTCCCCTGGATGCTGCTTGATCCCACAAATTTCTTTTCTTAGACTTGCAGCCCTGGACGCAGGAAAATATTTATCCAAAAATTTTTTCTTCAATTGGTCCCACGTGGTGATGCTACCTGGTGACAGGTAGTACAGCCAGTCCTTTGCAGAATCCTTCAAGGAAAAGGGAAATGCCCTCATTTTTATCTGCTCTTCTGTAATGCCCGGGGGCTTCATACTGTTGCACACGACATCAAACTCCTGCAGATGCTTATACGGCTCCTGACCTGGTAAACCATGAAAAGAGGGTAAAAGAGAAATCAGACCAGATTTTAACTCAAATGAAGTGTTTTCACTCAAACTCGGGAAAGTAATGCACAAAGGCTGCTGATTTAAATTAGGGGCAGCCAACTCCCTTAATGTTCGTGCATTAGCCATGGGGATTTCTTCTTGCTCCGAGTCACTCGAAGTGCCACCAAATGAATCTGTTGGTTCGACTCCTGACTCAGGTCTCTGAGATGTAGCACTAGAGTGCTCCTCTCTGAGCTGTCTGGTTTCCTTTCTCGTTCTACGCGCGGTCTTCTCTACCTCAGGGTCAAAAATCAAATCACCTGCATGAGAAGATCGAGGCATACACTAGAAGAAAACCAGAAAATTATGACAAAAAAAATGAATTTAAAAAGAAACAAATAATAACGCCAGTCCCAGGCAACGGCGCCAAAAATTGACAGGTTGTCGAAACCTGTGCAATAATAAAACCTGCTCAAACTAAAAGTAATTTCCGTAGATAGCGGTAAGCAGGGTCGAATCCACAGGGACTGAGAGTAATTGTTTCTTTTCAAATTCACAGTGACAAAGGAGGGTGTTTTTGTGTAGAAGGTGACACTCAAAGAAATCCAAATAAAATCTAAGAAACTACTAAAAATTAAATAACAAAATATTAAAATCAAATGAGTAATAATTAAGGATCTAGCCAAGAAATAACTTCAGCAATGATTCACCTAATTGATCATCGATGCAAAGCCAATTCCAATTATTTATCAATAAATATGTTATAACTACCAAACAAGCGATGACAGTCAACCCCTCCTTACTGTGTCGGTGATCAAGGTACGCCCGTTAATCACTGCTCTAATTGAGAAATAATCCTAGGTACGCCCATAGAATTTAATTCTCCAATTGCCTTACGTATTAGAGGAGCCCTATTCTAACCAAATAACGCACTACCAGGGTTAGTTTAGATTAGCCCGCGTATTCCCCTGACACAAACCTAATCATGCCAGTTGTCACTATTTTAGGACAATTAAACAATTACGGATTTAATGTCCTAATTGACAATAGATTACCCAATCAACTAATTATCTGGATCCAAGACAATCAATTAATTAAATAATCACAAGCATTGCAAATAAGGAATATGCGAATACTAATAAATAAAAGAAAAAGATAAAATTAAATCGATCTCACAATTTTAGACGACCCAAAGCATCCGTTGTCCCTTGACTAGACAAAGGGAATTAGCTCATTTTTGGTGAACTAAATTCACGGGAAATTGAGAAGAAACCAGCGGCCATGTCCGTTGAAATTCGGCAAAATCCAATTCGTCTCAATATATCGAATGAACACAAAAGCATGCGCAGGGTTCAAAAGAAAAGAAATCAAGAAGAATCCTCAAAGCTAAAAGCTAACAATTGCTTTTCTTCCTAACATCCGTAAGTTGCTAGAGTCAAAAGTAAGTCCAAGGGAAAGCAAAAGTCAAGCATTGCTGCTAAGCTACAGTCGGAAAAAAACTAAGGAGAAGCCCACTTCATCTGATCCTCTTTTCCTCTTCTTATTGCGGCGGCTCACAGCAGGCAAAGAAGCCCTCCGTCCGTCATTCCTTTGCGAAAATTACCAAAATGGGCGTGACATCTTCTTTCCAAAAGTGCCCCTGGGACAAGCTTTATCATCTGAATTCTTTTCCAGCCAATTTGGCACATGTTATCATATTTTCGTTCTACTCCCTGAAATAAATGCAAAATACTAAAAATGAGTAGAATCCCGCAATTAATCCACATCAAGTCAGGTAATAGGAGGAATTAATAATAAAATAAATGCTGAAATTGCAACCTATCACTTTACATGTGAAAAAGGACTCCTTGCTGAAGTATTTGGCTTTCAAGACTCTACTCACAAGTAGATTTGGTTTGGTGATAAACCTCCAAATCTGCTTTCCAAGCAAAGCCTTGTTAAAAGCTTCCAGATCTTTGAACATGTCAACTATCCGAAGTCTAAAATGATTAGCGATTCAAATCATCTAGCAAAATAAAACCTAAAATTAATTCGTCCACATTATGATCTATAAGGCGTTGCACATAAGTTGGTCAATGCTTAGCCACATTGCTCAAGCACGTACATATGTTCGCCTTCTTGAATCTATCCAACACCAAAAAAAAAAAAAAAAAAAAGGGCAAACTTCCTTCCATCAATGTTTTCTTGCCTGGTAAAAGCACTGAATCATCACCGCAAATGACAAAAGACACCACCAGACAGGGAACCCAAAAATTAAAAAAAAAATCATTAAAAAGGTGAAAGTCTCATGGATGTGATCCAAAGACTATCAATCATCTCTGATGTGAGCCACATGGATCACATAAAAGCAGAGGCAAAATTAATAGCCATCACTACTTGAGAGAGAGAGAGAGAGGAATGTGAATCTGATGATACGGTTTCAGGAAGTTGATGTGACACCAAATTTTACAGCAAGAGAAGGTTGGGAATGAGACAAATTCACTAATGAGGGACCCAGTTACAACCAAACAAACAATGCAGAATTCAGAGTCACTGATATTTAAAATAGATATAATCTCTTACATGTGTCCAATGTTTTGAAAACCGGACCGGACCGGCCGGTTCGACCGGTTGAACCGCGAACCGGCCATGGCACCGGTCCAATTCTATGCTCTGGTTGACTTTGCCAGAGAACCGGTCAAACCCGGTAAAAACCGGGAAAACCGGTGAACCGTGTTGAACCGGTTTTTGAGTTTTCCTTCTTTTTTTTTTCTTTTTGCAAAATGCTTCTATCAAGATTCGAACTCAAAACCTTTGTAATAGAAGACCAATGTAGTAACCATTGCACCATCACATCTTATTTGCTTTTTTTGATAACTTATTTATATAAAACAAACATCTATATTTCATTTTTCCATTTTTCTTACAAAATCTCATCCTCTCATGACTCTTTCTTTTTAATCTTCAACTCTTTCTTTTCTCTCTCATCTTTTCTTTTGTCACTCCATTTTTAATCAAACCTCATTAGTTTTAATTTATTGATATTTTCTTCTATCTTTTAATTTTGTTTTTGCCCATCAAATTAGAAAAAGTTAAAAAAGAATTATTTTTCTTTAACCCAAATTATTTAATGCCACAACCACTCACTTTTATCTCATTTTTTGTTTCTTATCAAGTTTGCATTTCTATTTTCAATTCTCTTAACTTCTTTCGAACTCCAAACTTTCTTTTTTAAATTACAATCTTTAAATCTCAAAGACGTAAATTAAAATTTAAGTTCACAATGTCAAATTCTCATAGACGTGAATTTTGTATAATTTCAAAATATTGTGATATTTTTGGGTTGGATTTAAGATTTTTTTGGTAGATATAATTGAAATTGAGATGAAATTTATTTGTTTTAACTTATAATTTAAATAATTTATTTTTGAAAATCCAAATTATTCAAAAATAGTGAACTTTTCATCATATAAAGTTTTAAATTAGTCCATTGCATATCTTATTTTGTGCATATATATATTTATATAAATTATTTTTAAAAAAATTCATTGAACCGAGGTTGAACCGGTCTGACCGGTTGAACATCGACCCTTTCACCTCACCGGTTCAATTGACGGTCCGGGTTTTAAAACATTGCATGTGTCTCAGAATTCAATTACAACAACAAAGACATAATCACATAAACCTTATAACTGAATTGCACTACAGCATGTCTTTATACACTGTCAATTGATGTCCCTCTTGGCTCTTGCTCATCTTCTCATCCATACATTGGTATAAGATATACGTTCAATTAAATTGAGTCTACTGCTTCTCTGCCAGACTATTAACGTATGATCTAGTAACCATGTGGTTTCTGCTTCATCTGCCAAACTATTGCACATCTTCAGCTATTACCAAGTCGCACTGGTCAACGAAAGTATGAAATTCAATCTTACACTATCTATTATTTACTTTAGAATTAGTAATAAACTAGGGAGAAGAATTAGTAAGTATGCTACTACATTAGCGCGAGATGAGGAATATCTAAGTTCTCTGTGTCAAATGACACAATTGTAGAGCTCCTTATGGGCCGTTGCTCAAGTTTGTATAGCTTGTTTTGAAATCAATATATTTCCTAACGTTTCTATAAAAAAAAAATTTTTTTATTTACTTTAGAAAGGATTTAGTGAAACAGAGTCTGCACTGATTTTATGACTAGGGTTAGCATACTAGCCGCAATTGAAAATTAATTTCACCAAGAATCCCTTCAACCATCATTTCAAGAAATATACTGACCTACCCAAAAACTTTTCTAGGCATAGGGAATAATTGTGGGTATTTTGATGTGAGTTGGTTCAATTATTAACTTTAGTTATTCATGTTTGAAGAATTAAGGCTAGCTGCAGCTATTTTTGTGTTATTTGAGTTATTTTGTTACTTAGTCGTGAATAAAAGTTGGCTATATTTCGCTAGTTATTACTGCTTAGTAATCGGAGATTTTCACCAAAAGTGTCGATTCTCGCATTAACAAATAGTAATTTCTATGAGTATCTGGTCGTATAGCAAAAGGAGCTGAGTAACCAGGCTCATTCAAAAGGCTCTAATGGTTAGAGCCTAAGTCTATTATTACTATTGAAACGGAATAAAAGAAAAAAAAGAGAAAAATAGAAAAGCGTGATAAAAAGGTGAAGGTTGTGTCAATATGTAATTAAAGTCAGCTTGCCTATTTGTTAATTTAATGTTGAGATTTTGGCTAATAGTTGGACCATTTGCTGATAAATGTTGAGCGACCATTCCTTTTTCTTAGATTAAGTTTGCCTTAAATTGGAGGGGTCCGTGGTTTAGAAGCTAACCGAGGTGATGTTTCTTGGATCTTGACCATTGATGCTTGATATGTGTTTTTCTTGGTATCTTGGTAATAAGGTAGTTGAAGCAATAACCATTGTCAAATATTGGTATTTGTTTGTTGTTCTCATGCTTGAGAGCAAGCATAATTTTGGTGTGGGGGGAATTGATAGGTTGCAATTTTATCATTTATTTTATAATTAATTTCCCCTTTTACCTTACCAGATGTGGATTAATCGTCAGATTTTACTCACTTTTGGAAATGTGTATTTATCACAGGAAGTGGAACACAAATATCATAAAAGGGTGCTAATTTGATGGTTATCAGAAGAAGAGTTTTA